CATGTTTGAGCTCTACAACTTATTATATTATTGAATTATTTTATTGCGGGGATATTTGGAGTAACATCAATGACAAGATATTGGAAGAAAAAAAAATCCATCATGACCAAGGTCGTGAGGCTGGATGGTCGCATGTATCGACCACTCCTTTGAGGGTGGGCATGTGTTCGAAGAAAAAATCCATCATGACTAAGGTCGTGAGGCTGGATGGTCGCATATATCGACCACTCCTTGGAGGGTGGACATGTGTTTGAAGAAAAAATCCATCATGACTAAGGTCGTGAGGCTGGATGGTCACATGTATCGACCACACCTTTGAGGGTGGGCATGTTTCGAAGAAAAAAATCCATCATGACTAAGGCTGTGAGGCTGGATGGTCGCATGTATGGACCACTCATTTGAGGGTGGGCATGTGTTAAAAAAAAAATCCATCGTGACTAAGGCCGTGAGGATGGATGGTCACATGTATTGACCACTCATTTGAGTGTGAGCATGTGTTCGGAAAAAAAAAATCCATCGACCACTTCTTTAAGGGTGGGCATGTGTTCGAAGGAAAAAATCCATCATGACCAAGGCCGTGAGGCTGGATGGTCACATGTATGGACCACTCCTTTGAGTGTGGGCATGTGTTCGAAGGAAAAAAATCATCATGACCAAGGCCATAAGGCTTGATGGTTACATGTATCGACCACTCCATTGAGGGTGTGCATATGTGCAAAGGAGAAAAACTCATTGTAACTAATACGAAAAGTTGGAAGATTGACGGCTTTGAAACACCCTGATTAAGGTAAGAGAATGACAAGTGAAAGTCACATGTATCCACCACCTCCTCAAGAGTGAGCATATGCTGGAAAGTGAATAATCCCTCATATACTTACACAAGATGGATACGTCGGAATTTTCATAAACACAACATGGGGAATGTGCATTAATTAAAGGCAGACACAGTACGAAGAGAAGACATAATCGAGCAAAGACATGAAAGCATTGGAGTAAACAAAATAAAATAGATTACATTGATACAGAAGTTCTTATACACGCAACGTACATAATTTTTAAAAGAAAAATACAAGAATGTTAAATACATAGTGTTCATGGAGCATACACGCTAGGATTTGGAAAAGTTTGCTCGGCGTCGGCATCAGCAGTAGACTCGGGCTGCTGCTCAGCTTGTTGATTAGAGCCAGAAGTCAACTCAGTCATGTCCGACAGTGGTTGAGCATGAATCGAGTCGACCATGGCTTGTTGCATAGAGACCGGAAGAGTGACACTATCGGGCAGCTTGAAAGTCTTCTTTAGAACACCGGCTCGAGCCAGAGTACAATCGAGAATGCCCGACCACCATTCATGAATAATTTGTAAGTCAAGTTCACCATATAAATTCTAAGCAACCTTGGGCATGTCATCCCATATGGCTTCTATATCAAGTCACTCAAAGTCATCCTCGACCATCTACTCCAGCGGAATTAGTCATGGCGAACTGAAAGTAATCAGTATCGAGGTCCTGCACTTTCTTTTGATACTATGGTGACTGCATGAAGTCACCCACCACTTGTTCACGGTATTCCTGCAGGAAACGCTGCCCGACTGTGGTGTACCACAACATCTGACGAGCTCGGAGGGCGGCGAGGTGGGTTATGTTGGGATCAATATAACACTAACAGGTTAGACGTTAAAGGGGCGCTTGTGTACGGATTAAATTTGGTGAAACTGAAATAATTGACGAAATTGAGTTAATTGGGATTGTGTACGAAAATATTTCTCCTTTCTCATTTCAATTGCGGGCCCACAAATACAGCTGCTGCCCCCACATCTATTTCATATGTATTATTAAATTGAATTCAAACCAACCACCTGACAAAAAGCAATAGAACATCCTTTCAGTATTGAAACAAATGAAAGTCGTCTTCCTCAATAAAATACCTTCCTCTGTTGTAACGCCCCACTTTGATTTTAAAGACATTCCAGAAAATCAATAATCATTTTTGAAATTCAATTTAAAATATTGGTGGCGTTATTCATTTAAAAACTAAAATAATATCTCCATAATAGTCATCATCATGACTTTCATCATAATTCAATACCCTAACCAGGGTTTCATTCAACGTCAACCATTACCCAAAATGGGTTTTCCTAAATTTATCACAGAGTCATGGGGCATCTCCCCAGAATTATTTCAAGTCATTGTCAAGGTTTATAAATACCAAGTTTATAAATTCATAAAAGTTCATATAGCGAAAGCAAATAAATAGCGGTTTGGTCATACAGACCGACCATCACTCGCATCCCTCCGTTGTGCCCGCACTTACTAACCTGCATCTATGAAGAGCAGGTGGGGGTGAGCACAAATAGAAATCGTGGTGCTCACCACTATGCAATAATCCATGATCAATATTCATAAAATAAAGCAGGTATGGTCGTAGTATGAACACAAATCAATTAAATATCCCATCTTCTATCCCAGAGTCAACCCTCATGTGCACACTTATAGCAATAGACTACTGCTGATACTCGTATCGAATGTATTCGATCAGGCCTTACAACGATGCCCAACCAGTAGGAGTAAATCCACCCCGACAGCTAAGACCTAGGCCTTGGTCTTATAAACGGGGATCACCTGCCAAGGCTCATGCCCTGGACTGCCATACATAAATAAAAGAGACTACCCATCGGGTACGTTCTATACTTAGGGAAATAATCGTTCGATGGCCGGTACAGCTCACATCGAAGGCTACATGGTTCACATGCATACATTGATCATACTGCAAGAAATGTAACAATTTACCGCATAGAAATTTTAGAATAACAAACCCACCTGAAAAATGTGGTAGAATATCGCACCCAAAAGCAAGTACGTAGATCGAGGGCTCGACTTCTCAAACACCTACATTTAAGCGAGATAATATATCAATAATCTATCTCACTACTCGAACTTAACATAAAACCCATACATAATAAAATTAAGCCTTAAGGGTTTTCAATCGGATTTTTCGTGGACTTGGAACTCTCTCATTTTTGAAAAATAGGACTCGGAGAAACAAAATTGGAGTCACGAGACTTAAAATAATTTTCCTAAATTTTTCACATTTGAAAATACTTTTTAAAATCGATATCGGCACGAAAAACAACTTCTGGAACTGAAAATTAGGCTAAAAACCGAATTGGGCTGGCTGGCCAAAGACTGCCCCCAATTGGGTCTCACACGCGCGATTTGGGCCCAAAATGGCACAATAAATGGGCCGCAATCGGGTTTGCTAACAGCTGGATCGCGAGGGTTGGGAGTTTGGGCTCGCGGGCCGAGGTTGCTGACTGCTTACGGGCCGCACGCGAGTTGTGTTCGGGCCAAAATGGGTTACAGAAATTTGGGCTGGAAAAACGGTAAAATAGAAACAAATGGCTATCCTCAAGGTCTGGTTTCGAACCCACGACCTCGCACAGAGAAACAAGTGTAGAACACCACTGCACAACACGCCCGGTTCGAATTTTAAATGGAAAACTCTAATTAAAACGAAGCCTGCGGATATAGGATGAACAGTAAACTGAACAGAGAACTTCTGGTACAGATTCTCAATTACGATTTCTGAGCGCGATGCGATTTGAGCAACTTACGAAAATACCAAAATAAAAACCAAGTATCCAGAGTTTTGAAAACTTATAAAAATCGGGTTTTATTTGTTCGCAAAAACAAAATGACTACACACGGTTCAAAAATGAACGAACAACACATCGACGACAGTAAAGCTCAAAACCATAGAATGAGACTCCTAAATACGCAACAATCACAACAACAAAATAGGGTTCAAATTATACGAAACGAGAGTCCAATAATCCACGTAAAATTCACGAAAGAGCCACATGGAATAAACACACGGAAAATAAATCGATCTTCCAACGAAATGATTCAAAGCGAATGAGAATAAACGAACAATATTATTCTGAATGACAATTAACAAGGAGGTTTCGAAAAGATTACCCGTCTTCGGGAATCTACGAGCTAACGAAAAAACGGGTCAGATAACGGGATCGACGGAACTCGGAACTCGAAAGCTTCGAAGAATGGCCATTTTAGCGAATTCTCTGACAGACTGAGGGCGTTACTCGCGAACCGCTACTCGATGTTGTCGAAGCCGGTGGACTGAGTTCCACCGGCAAAGTCGGCTGGAACTCTGCTCAGAAACATGGACGACGGCTTGCGGCGGCTCTGGCTGGGAAGAGCGTGTGGTCACCGGGAGTTGGCCTGCTCAGAGAATGAAGGTGAACTCGCCGGTAATGGCTGCTACTGCATGGGCTTGAGGTCGCCGGAATCTATGGCGGATGAAATTTCAGGCAGCGAGGTTTTTATTATACGAGCGCAGAGCTGCAAAGTGAACGAAGAGGGAAGATGGAAAATTTTGGGTTCTAATCAGGGAGGATATATGCGAGAGAGAGAGAGAGAGAGAAGAAACGGTTTGAATGATTTTGTGTTGTCCTCGGTCGAGTCTTAAGAAGACGATGCGAGACGTGCGAGAGGAGGGAGAGCTTATCACTGAAATATCGTAACAATAAAATTCGAACCGATGGGGAGGACGACTCGGTCACGCGGCAGATGAATGAATTGACAGCGGATCTCTTCAATTGGGCCAAGGAAAATTAAATGGGCCATTACATCTCATAATGCAAAAAGGACCAAGTTAATTGTGCAAAATTGGGCATGGAATAATTCACAAGGCTGGAATTTAACTTAAATTGGGCCGGAACCAATTTAACCGGACATAAATAAAATACAACGCGATAACAAAAATTTCTGTTCAATTCGATTGACGACGAGTAATTAGAATTACGCGACTTATTATATTAATTAGACTACATCTAATTAAATAGTAATAAGTCTAAACGGAGAGATGTCGAGCAATAATGCAATATAGGAAATTAATCTAAATAATAAAAATAATAATAATACAATAAATAATATCTAAATAATCCATAAATAAACTGGGCATTACATATGTGAAATAAAAACCATGAACTCAGCCCCAAATCCCTATATGCCCAACACCATCCCACATGTTCTTTCGCCGGAGGTTCCGATGGAGAGGACCGATCCACACACCGAAAGTACCGGCAGCGTGTCGGTGAATTCGCTGAAAAAAAAAAAAAAACGAAACGGATAAGCAAGGTTAGTTTGCCGGTTTTAATTTGTGAAATGTCTGTACTTTTTTTTGTTTTTATAACTGATTTAATGTGCCTTGATTACCAGAAACGCAAGGAAAGGGATTTTGGTTTACTTATAAATTAAAATTCATAATTAGGGATTGCATTTATTTTATACTAATTGTGTATCTGGTTTGGTTTACATACAAATGAAATACATAATTATGAATTGTATATTCTACTAATTAGGGATTTCATCTGTTATGATTGTTGCTCACAAATTTGCTGAGTTGGATTTTTTTATTTATTTTGTTTAATTATTGCTTGTCCAACCTGCTGCGTTGATGAATCTTTCGTAAGGTATGAACTACGTGGTTAACACATGGTGCGTCGTGCAAGTCGATTTGTATGCGGGTAGATGCGTTTAGTTGTGTGATGCAGAATTTTTAATTTATCGTGTCCTGTTTGCTTCCTATTATGTTTTTTGTGACTAGTTGTTTTCTATTATGTCGGAGCTGTTTGTTGTGAAACATTGTAGATGTCGACATCGGCTGAAGGCGGGTGTACGCAAAATAAAGAAGGAGAAGCAAAGTGGCCTCCGGAGAATGAGGCTCGGTTAATATCGTTGATGTTGGACCAAGTTATCTTGGGGAAGTGCGTTGGGCGGAAGTTTTTTTTTTTTTTTTGCCAAAACGATAGAGAGATTATAATCAAAGGGCACAAATGTGCAACTACAAACTGAGAGGACAGGTCAGAAGACCGCCTAGAATCTCAACTAGCCAAGCTAGAATACAAACAGACTCAACATCCTACCAACAACTAGAATCGCTCCCCACAGGAGAATAGGATCGCCCCCCACAGGGGAGTCAACACAGGGGCCAACGGCCCAGACCAAAAAGACAAGACATAAAACACTCAGGCAAGGAGCCCAGACCAAAAACACTAACCTAGAACAGACTCAAGCAACAACAACAAAATCAAAAACAACAATGCCCTTCCCCAACCAATAAACGAGCCTAAAACAACGGAGAAACAACTGGCCCAAGATGATCCAAAGCCTAGGAACAACTCCTGAAACTGCGAAAACGCCTATACAGAAGCCTCACTCGTGCCCCGAAACATCTCGAATCAGCCCACCTATAATCGAGAGAACAAGACCAGCTCCAAAGTCCAGCACTACCCAACCTCGTTTAACACCACTAGCTGAGCTTGGAAGCACCGGACCCACCCAGTCCCAAACACCAGAGAACCGGAGGTAGGGAGATCCGTCCCATTCTGCAACACCGGCAGCCTTGACGAAGGACATCTCAGCCATTGGTGTCCCGACCCGTCCACCGACCCACTCGCCACCCGAGCCACTGTAGAAACCTAGCAGCCACCCAACCCACCGATGCTCTAGCGGAGAAGAAGAGCAATCCAAGGGGAACAACAATCCCAGACCAAACAGAGATCGAGGAGCTTGCCTTCACCTTTACCCGGCGACGAGCCACCGGTGACCGTAGAGGGGGAAGTCGCCGCCAATCGCTGAAAATCTGGCAATCGAGGAGGACGCTACTCAAAAATTTTATCAGCACGAGCCACGAGGCATCAGAAACAAGTCGAGCGGTCGAAGGTGACCACTGCCCAGGGCATCAGCATCGACGAGGAAGGTGAACACTGCCCAGGGCATCGTCGTTGGGCAGAAGTTCAAAACAAGCAATTGGATGGATACCCAAAAAGCATTGAACAGTACTTGTGGTCTGGAACACCATTACGAGATAACACAAATCACGAGTAAGCATGATCGGTCGAAAGTGCAGTGGCATCTATTCTACAATATGCTGCATAATACAATCGGGTTCGGTTGGGATTATGCAACCGGGAAGATCACGGGCGGTGACGAAGTTTGGAGCCGGTGGATTACGGTTAGTTCACTTGTTCTATTTGTTTCCTATTATGTTTGTTGTGACTAATTGTACTTCATGTTCGATTGAATTTTAAAAAAAATATGCATTTGCTGGAGGTTTTATTTATTCTGGTGACTTATTATGATATTTTATGTTTGTTGTGACTAGTTGTACTTCATGTTCAGTTGAATTTAAAAAAAGAAAAATATGCATTTGCTGGAGGTTTAGTTTATTTTGGTGACTTAACAGGATATTATGTTTGCTGTGACTTGTTGTACTTCATGTTCAGTTGAATTTAAAAAATATATATATATGCATTTGTTGGAAGTTTTGTTTTTTCTGGTGACTTAACAGGAATATTTTGGTTTCCTTTGGTTAGTTAATTTTTATCAAACTGTTTTTCTTTCTAATTTTGAGATGAACTTCCCTGTAAAATAAGACCTCTTATGAGGGTACTCTTTTCCAAAATCAGGGGCGTCCACAGGACAAGGACATGAAGAGGCGGGTGTGCGTGCACTACTATGAGCTGACCACAATTTTCAACGGGACCACTGCAACTGGTGCAAGGGCATCTACACAAACACCGGAAGGAACAAGCAGGCGTCGTAGAATCAACACGGCAGTGACGCCCAACTACTTGTTTCCCGAGGAGTTAAGTGATGAGCCAATGAACACCCCGGACAATGACAGGTGCACTTGTCACCGTAAAGGGACTACTTCCACATTCGACAATGCCACGAATTCTATTACTGAAGCAAGCCGCATAATCCAACAAAACGTGCATCCAGAAGCTGATCAAAAGAGCCTCTAACATGCTTCAAGGGAGCTAGAGTCCTTGGCTGATGTTCATATGCCGGTTCGAAAGATAGCTTGGAGGAAGTTTCGCGACCCGTGGATTCTGTACTCATTTTTTGGACTGGAAATGAAGAAAACCAACGTGCACTTCTAGATATGTGGATGGAAGAGGATGGCAATTAGGACTGATGTTTTTTGCCATGTAAACTATTGCATAATTTCACAAGAACTATTTTCCTGCTACTTTGAAAATTGATGAACTTGTCTGTTTTTTTTTATATGCATTTGTGTTGACTTTAATTGTGTTTCTATATAATATTATGTGACGTAGGTTTATTTCAGTTTGGTCATTGATGTTGTTTTTTTTAATTTACAAAAAATTGTTGATTTTGAAAACTAGTTCCCACAAATTCTCCATTTGTAGAATGTCACACGTTGATGAAGATGAGGATTACGATGATGTTGAAAATGAAGTCGGTCAACAATTAAACGACAACATGGATGGAGATGTCAACGCTGTTGTTCAGTCATCTCATTTATCCCGTTTGCAACAATTTACCAATATGCTTGAGTTTCAAGAGCAACAACTTATTCATGTGCATGCAGCGTTTCAGTCTAATCCACCTATGACACGAATCCGGTATAGGCCTTCCACGTACAACGGGGAGGACTGGATTAATGAACTCCTTATGGGGCACGATCGAAGATTCTACGATGCAATAGGTATGAACAAGAAACTTTTCAAATTGCTTTGCAAAGAAATAAAACAGACGGGTTGTCATGGTGACGTAATACAACAAAAGGTCTGCATTCAAGAAAGTGTTGCGATGTTCTTGCATACAATAAAGGGACAACAAAGGCATTAAAAAGCTGCAGAGACATTTCGATGATCTACATAGACGATTAGAATCATGTACATATCATGATCACTACCTTTTGCACACTGGCTCCCAAATACATACGTCCTCTAGATTTTACTCGTGTTCCTGATTGGATACGAAAGAATTGCTATCCATATCCATACTTTAAGCTAAATTGCTTAATCAGATTGTATTTCATGAATCACCTAAACAATTTATGAAATGTTTTCTCTTCCTTCAAGATTGCATCGGTGCCATCGACAGAAACATCATACCAGCTTGGTTACCTGAGCACGATCATGGGAAATACAAATTTCGAAAAGGTTACTTGTACCAAACGTTATGGTCGCATGCGAATTTGATTGCAAGTTCACTTTCGTTTTAGCGGGATGGGAAGGCAGCGCGAATGATGCTCTTATTTTTGTTGAAACATTGACAGACCCCACAAATACTTTCCCGTGGCCACCAGAAGGTATGTCTTTATTTTTCTTCCTCTTTTCGGACATATTGGAAGAAAAATTTATTGATAGGGAAATGAAAGTTAACATTACCTTATTGGTTCATTAACACCACTACCTTCAATCTTAGGGAAATATTATGTGGTGGACTCAGGCTATTCCAATATCCCAGGATTCATGTCACCTTACCGTGGTGATAGGTACCATCTCTCAGAGTAGATTCGCTCTAACCAACACTTAAAAATGCGAGAGAGCTATTTAACCGATGCCATGACACTAATGTGGTTGAACGTAGCTTTGGTATATTGAAAGGTAAGATCCCCATTATAAAAGGCCTAATGCCGAACTACACGCCCGAGTTCTAGACAGACATAGTTACCGCATGTTGTATTGTACACAATTATATCCTTGAGCACCAAAAGTTCGAGAACGTACCGCCAGCCATACAAGACCCGGATTACATACCAGAACCAGATGAAGATGATCATACAATGCCTTTGATGACAACTTAGGTACCTCTAATGTTGGTGTACGTGAACAGTGTGCTTTGCGCGATTCGATTGCTGCCGCCTTATGGGCCGATCAAGGTGGCAGACGTCGGTAGTTGCTTTTATGTTTTATTTATTACTATTGTATTCCAAATTTTCAAGACAACTATGCCTTTTAATCGTGTTTGGCAACCTTTGACACAAGTATGCCTCTTGCTTCCTACTTAAAATTGATTATTGGAAAAGAAAAAAGAAAATCGTAGCTTTTATATTGTTGTATTTTTTTTAATTTTTATTTACTAACTCACATAATCAATAATTACATATTTGTCAGTACTCATTTTATTTATCACTTGGTTTAGCCATTGTCCGAACACTTGCGGTCACGTATGATGTACTTTATGTAAGGTGAAATAAACCTATGAAATTGGGTTATTTCGACAAAGAAAAATTATCCGGAAATATGAAATTGCCTTACAAAATAACCCAAATCGTGGAAGGACGTTACCATGCGCAACAAAAACAATTTTTACTACATATAAATTTGGCTAATTTGGACAATACAGAAATTATGAATACATAAGAAGTTGGCTTATTTTGACAAAAGAGAAATTATGAATACATATAATAATGCAACAATTGCCACAATTCGAAAAATACATACGCGCTCGTAATCTCTCAATTTCCTCTCCTTCTACATCGAGCTGCCATACGTCGTTCTTCGGCCCAGTAGTCCTGAATCACTTAGTCGAGTTTCCGATAGTTACGTTCATGTCGCGCTAAAATTTCACCGGGATAAGGGTGAAGCTGTAGAGGTTCGAAAATTATTTTCAACGTTTCCAAAAGAGGCTCAAGATTGCTCCAACAATGATCTGCTAATGCCCATTCCTAAGAGAACATGATGTATGAGTTGTACACACTTAGAATGCAATTTTTAAAAATGCTATTACATAAGAAAATGAAAAAAAAAATAAAGGTAAAAGCAAAACGAATTGTTCTAAAATTTATCTCAATTGCATCCTCACGATCGTCCTCGTCAAGATAGATGGTCTTTTGTGTATGTGAAAACACCTAATGGATGTTCTATGAAATATTTAAATGTTTAGTACCTTTCTTTCAAGACCATGAATGTGGTATAGCATTCTTGCGAAGTCAGATGTTAACCGATTTCATCCAAGGTACTTCTGTATATTCTGTCGAATGCCATATACGTCATGCTCGGAGTTCAACCCTTCTGACTGAATGTAATGTAAAAGTATGACACAAAAAGATTCCTCAGTTGCTGGAAGCCATCTGTGCGCGAATCCTTCACGTATATAACAGAAATGTTCTTCCTTTGTTTTTTTTTTTTGATCGTTAAATGTAAATATATATAGATCAAAATTGGGTACAAGGAGCGTTCAACGGCACACAAAAGCGTAATGGGTAACAACAAGTCAGTTCCTCATACATGAGATAAGATATACGAGGACAATCACAAGTCGGTTGTTCACTCAAAGGTCAGGGAAAATGAAATGCAGAGGGTCCCAATGGGACTCGGCCCACGTCGGCTCGGTGAAACAAGTCTTGGGTAACACTCAAGGCAGTCGATGGTGCGCTGACTGGCTTCAGGCCTTAGCGGCGCTAGGAGTGATGTGGCACGCTGCCATGGCGCGGTTCCGTCGTGGAGAGGGCCTGTCATGTTAGCGGTGCTTTGCGGCCTAGCGGTGCTAGGGAGTGACGTTAGCGGCGTTATAGGCACAGGGGCGCTTCAATGTCAAGGCACCTATTCTCAGCCCCTCGTTAGTCCCTTGCTACGGACAAAGCGGCGGTATGGGCTAAGCAATAGCGGTGCTATCCCAGGCTAGCGGCGCTAGTACCTGGGCGCCTGATTCTATTTTTTCCTCGCTTCACACTAGCTAAGGCTCTAACGGCGCTACACAACCGCACCTTAGCGGCGCTAAGCGCATAGCGACGCTAGTACATTTGGATAGAGAGAAAAGACAGTGCGGTATACATGGGTTTTTACCTTCCGGACCACAAGGCATGGGGGTTGGTATTCATTTTCAAAGACCAATCGATTCCTTGCGTTCCAAATGAAGTAAACGGTGGCCGCTAGCGCCGCTTTCTTCAACTTGGACCTCCACCCCGCACCTTTCACTTTTTTCTTGGTCCATTTGAGG